GAGAGAGGAAAGATGAGGGAGGTGAGAAGGGGCTTCTCAACCAAAGACCAAAAGAGCTGGAAGGGGGCATCATCCTCTCTCATTTACAGAGGAGGAAAAAGACTCAGGAAGGGAAGTGAGTTTCCTGTGGCTACTCAGCAAGCTGATGACAAAGTCAAGATTTGAAGTCAGCTCTCTTCAGTGGTAGAATTCTCTCCTTCCATGCAGGAGACCCAAGTTCCATTCCTGGCCAAGGTGCTTAATGTGCAGCTACCACTCATCTGTCAGCTTGCATCTCGCTATGATGCTAAGCAGGTTTCAACAGAGCTTGCAGACTAAGATGAATTAAGAAAGCCTGGCAATCTACTTCCAAAAATTAGCCAATGGATCACAACAGATTGATTCAGGTATGTATGGGGTTGTCATGAGTTGGGGGTGACTTGATAGTCACTAACAACAACAATTCCTGAATCCCAAGGAGTTAGTGATTTCACACTGCCTTGAATTTCAAGAATCTGGGGTTTTGTTTCATCTCTCCAGCTGGGCTTTGAACTTAAGAAAGGGAGACAGATTAGGTATCAAACCCCTCCATGTTCCTTCTGCAGTGCTTGGTAGGGTTTATTAACAGTAATGGTGCTTGTCCTGACTCCAGAGTCTACCTTGAAACCCAAGAGAATCTCTGGAAGAATCCGCAGAGAGCAAGGATCACGAGGTGGTAGAAGCCCTCTGAGGCCTGGGGCAGATTGCCAACCACCAGGCCCCATTGGGGATGGAGCATCAGGGATCTGCTTCTAGTCTTGATTCTAGAACTAACTTGCAGGGCAACCTTGGTCAGTCTCTTCCCCTCCCTATGTATCCATCCCCTCCTCCTTTCAAGTGTGGGATTTACTGGTTTTGTGTCTCTTTCAATTTCAGTGTGTGGATATCATTAAGTGTGGGACAACACAGCCCTGCCCCAATTGGGCGGACCAGACCCTGGCAATTGGAGCTGGTGCCTCTCAGTGTCTTGCTTTTTGCAGCATCGCAGAACTCAGGCTTAGGGTCTGTCTGTCTTAGGTCTGCTTATCACAGGCTTAGGGTCTTTCCATTCCAAGGCTGCCAGTGAGGATCTAGGAGGTGGCTGAGTCTGGCCCTGGTATTCCAAAGTGGCCTTATCTCCTGCAGCCAAGCACCAACCAGCCCTCAGAATGGATTCCAATGAAGCGCATTTTCTGCCACCAAGTTTATAACACATCCCCACCTACTGGTCTTAATCATTAACAAGGCTGTTTGGTGGCACAGAGTTCCATGTGGCCAGCAGGAAGATGGGTGTGGGAGAAGGAAGGCTAACATCATTCATCAGTCCCAGTAGAAAGTCCCTCCAAGGCCTGCCACTGACCGTATCCTGCTGTGTCCCTCTTCTCTCTCCAAAGGGATCCAGAGCTTGAATGATCAGGGACGGAAGAGTGAACACAACCTGGAGGAGGAACTCAAGGTTTGCCAGGCTAGGGACCAAAGAGGTGAGAAGACATAGTCTGAGATGTGTGCAGAGCGACCTCGGATACTACACTCATATTCAATGAGCCTATGCTATAATCTGCCACCTGAGACACACGTATCTTGTATGAGCCACTCAAGAGGTGTAGCAGTGTCATGCATCCAGGAGCCATGCTCTCTGCATGTGTCTCTGCCTTTCCCCTTTCCTTCTTCTGCTCCACATCCCAGGGCTTCCTTTTCAATTAACACTGGGAGGGGCTCCCCCAATACAGAACTGTCCTCCCACCCCATTCACTTCTTCTCAGCACCTACTATGTGTCAAGCACTGAAGAGTGGGGCATAAATCAATAAGGCATGTGGCTCCTACCCTAAATGTGAGTACATGGCGATGCAGAGAGAAGTACACATATAAACATGCACCTGTGTGCCCTTCACATGCACACTGCAGCCTGCAACGAGTGCCAGAGGCAGAATGAGGTGTCAAGAAAGAATGAGCAAGTACTTCTATTGGGGGTGAGGGCTGATGGTGAGGGGCCAAGGGGGAATCCAGGAAGGCTCCATGAAGGAGGTGATAGTAAACTGGGCTTTATAAAAGCATAAATACGTAAAGATTTCTGGTATTAGAATATTCCAGATGGAGGGGCCAGTGGATGCAAAGGCAGGAGAATGAGAAGAGTGAGACCTCTTAAGGTGGATGGAGGGTGGAAAGAAGGCAGTGCCATGGAACTGAAGATGTACACTGGGACAAGGTTCTAAAAAGACTTAAATGCAGGACAAAGATTGCATCCTTGATCCTGTAGGCAGTGGGGAGTCACTGAAGGTTCCTGAGTAGGGGGCTGACATAATTAGCTCTCCAACAGATTTCACCACCATACTGCCCCCCTTAAACTTCTATTCAAGCTAAAAACAGGGCAGAAAGCTTCTCAAAAGACCAGATGCAAGAAAATGGTCTTCACAGATCTTCTCTGGTGGTATAGGGAGGCCCTAGGCACCCTACCAGCCCTGAAAGGCAGTGGTCTTCCATTCATACATCATATCTGCCCAGCAACCCACCTAGAAAGTGAGAAATGGCAGAAGTGAGATGAGGCAGGGACCATGCTGTTCTTGGAAGATGGGGAATGTGAGGGAGGCAGCCCAGAGTCACCCTGTCTAGTGGCGCCAGAGTCAGACAGAAATCCAGGCTGCTTGGCTCCCAGTCTGGCTGTGTGGTCAGAGCCCTGCGGCCTCGGTAGCCTGCCAGACAGAAAACTGCAACTATGCCCCGCTCCCAGCATCTTCGAACAGCCTAGGAAACCCAACCAAGAGTTAGTCTGAAGTAAGATAAAGTCCATGTGCACCCACCTTTTAACAGAGAGCAGAGTCTGGTGGATGGGGGTGAGGCAGCCCTGAAGAAGGAAGGCCCAGAGGAGGTAGGGGAGTTGGCAGGGCTTCTATTATTCTGATTCATCCATCTGGGGGATCCCTAAGCTTTTAGCATCTGCTGGTTCCCTTCTGTGCAGAAGGGGAGACTGACGCATGGGATGGAGAAGAGACTTTGGGATCCATGCCCTACTGCCTCAAATAGCTTCTGTCAGGTCACCCTGGGCCCCAGGGCCAGGAACTGTGCTGAGCACTGGCTCCCTCAACTGCTCCAGGACCAATAGGGCACAGAGAAAGCATTGACAGCCAGCTAGAAAATGAGACAAACTGCTAACACGCAAAGAGAACAGCCAGGACATCAGGGCAAGCGCAAACTGGGTCCTAGGACGCAAAGAGGGTTCTAGCAGGTGAGGAAGGAAATACCAGGTGGAGGGGTCAGGGAGGTGGGCAGTAAGGCTCTAATAACCATGGGTGAACCACCCAGAGATCTGCCAGGGCTGGCTTTTCAGAAGAGAAGTCTGGCAGCCAGATGCGCGAGAATATAACACCCCAGATCCAGGCCTAATCAGATGTCTGAGCCTCAACCGGCTTCTTCCTGACCAGGCACCAGCAGCTCTGCTCCCAGGGCTTGGTCACAGCGCAGCAAGGGTAGTTCCCGCACGCAGACACTCAGCCCACCTCCCCACCTCTTTCTCATCCTCAGTCTTGCTTGCACCCGGAGCAGGGATTCCTGGTTCTCCGATGCACTCCCACTCCTCTAACTGGATCGCTGCCCTGCCCACTTGTCAGATAAAGAACTGAGGCCGCTGCTGGAAACCAAAACAAGCCCCCCACCCCCCGCCGCACCTTCAGCCCGGAAAAACCAGTCCACTCCCAGAGGACGGCCAGCCCGAGCCCTCTCCCCTACCAGCCTCAGGACGGTTTAATTTCCAGGGCCAATGCCTTTTCTTATTCATTCAACCTTGAGAACGCGCCTTTGGTCAGGGTGAGAGAGGCCGCTGGTTAGAGACCTTGGTGCGTGGGCTTGGGCAGACCTGGGCGAAAGCTGAGGGGGACACACCGAGGGTCTCAGCGTCCTCCACCATCGCGGAGATTCCTAAAGAGACCAGAGGAGGCTTTGTCAGCCCTCTCTATTCTGTGGGAGGTGCACCCCTCGGCGTGGGGCATCGAAGCCCCCTCCTCCTTGCTGCTTCGCCCAAACGTGCCCCAGGTCTGACGGTTTTACTTTGGGAAGGGTCAGCGAGGGCCGCTCTTCTCCACTACCACCCCGGCTCTCGCCCTCCCCGCCCCCCTCGGTCGGCGCCCCTCGTCTTGCTGGAGCGCCTCCAGCTTGCGGAAGGCCGGCGGCAACGTCCTCCCGTCGGGTCCCAGTTCCCACTCCGGAAGGCTGTTCAGAGACCCTCTGTCCCCCGACCGTATACCCACTGTCTCACTGCCAGAATGCCAAAGCCGCCCCATCCCGCCCTCACCCCTTTTTCCGCCGAGCCCAGGGCGAGCCTGGGGTGCAGACGCAACAGATTGCAGAGCGCGGAGCCTGCTCATTCCGCGCGCCGCCCGCGGCCCCGGCCTGCGCCTGCCGCCCAGATCTCCGCCTCCGGCTTGGCTAAGCCGGCCATTTAGATGCAGCTCACAGGACCACGGGCAGGCGAGCCGCCGCCGCTCCCCGGGCCCCTGTCCATTTCCCTTCGTTAGAACCGCTGCAGGAAGCAGGAAGCGCGGACCCGCACTGGCCTTCGGGCCAGGGACGAAGGAGGACGCGGTCCCCATAGATCCCAACATCCCCCAGCCCCGCCAGCGGCGCGGAGCGAGGGGTGCAGACCCAAGGGAAGGCAGCCGGAACGCGATCTAGCGGACCCCTATAGGTTTCCGTGGGCGGGCACGCCCCCAGATACTCCGGTTTCTACCGGTCTTTCCAACCTGGAGAGGATTGGGGAGACTGCCTCCGCTCCCCCCCCCCCGCCCTTTTGCTGGGCCGGGCTCGGTCCCCAGGGCGGGGCTCGAAGCCTAGGCTCCCGCCGGAAGGCTTGGGAGCTGGAGGAAACTCGAGCTGCAGCCCCAGACGCCAAGCGGGTAGGGGCGGCTTCGAGTTCGGGGTAGAGGGGTCTCCTTTTTCCAGTACCCCCCATGCCTCCTCCAGCAGCACCCGCCGCAGCTCACCCCCGTGTCTGCGCCGCGACACTTACCACCGTAGGCGAACAGTACCGAGAGGCAGAGCAGGGCGGCGCCGCCGCGGCCCGACATCCCTGGGGCCATGGCCGAGGCGGGAGCGGGAGGGGGCAACAGTCGAGAACGACTTGGTCCTATCCTGGGTTTGGTCACATCCAACTCTGAGTGGCAGTGGCCCCCGGCTGTCTCTGCTGAGGCTTCGGGGGCCCGAGAGGACAATTCGGGGACACTTTGCGGGGAGGGGGCGTCCCAGGCGCCGCTGACTACACACTCGGGGCTGGTGGGGGCGCAGCTCCGGGCGGGAGGAGCTCCACCTCCCCAGGCTGGTGCCCCCTGCAGGATCTGTGCGGCGAGGGGGGAGCCGCACGTGCGGTCCGGAGCCCGGTGGCCACCGATGTCCCGGGGGCTGCCTAGAGCCAAGTCTTGGATCCTTCGGCTTTGTGGCCCAGCTCGAATCCGAACTCGATCGAGGGTGCAGATTTCCAAGGCAAGCCCCAGTTTCCTCGGTTTCGGTAGTAATCCCACATGGATAGCGTAGCTTCCTTCCTCCAAGCGCCCTGCAGCGGCACTAGAATAAAAAGCCCAGGTCAGGTACAAATGAATGATTTCTTTCGCAAAGAAAGAGAAAATCCAGCAACTTTAATCCATCTGGAGAAGGAAAAGTTTCCGTGCAGTGCTGAGACTGGCGAATCGGGTGGCCACGACCCAGGGCGCTGCCGGAGGCGGGCGGCCAGCTGCTGTCCCCTCGCCCAGTTCTCGCCTTGGCTCCAGCGAGCTCTCTCCAGTCTCAACTCGGGCCTGGGCTCGACACCGGCCAGCTCAGTGCCGCCTTCCCCGACAGTCGCACGGAGACTGGGACGAGCGTGGCGCGGCCGGAACTGGCTGGCCCATGGAGATGGGGCTTCGA